TGTTTTTGTGTGTGACATGTATGATGGTAACCACTGTTAAAGTGTCACTGTTTTTGTGTGTGACATGTATGATGGTAACCACTGTTAAAGTGTCACTGTTTTTGTGTGTGACATGTATGATGGTAACCACTGTTAAAGTTAACTTATCATTCCTTTCACCACCTTAACAAGAGGTTTAAATAATGATGTTAGTAGGTGTAAAGGTAATAGTTTTGTGATGCCACTTTCTTGTGTTTCAGAATCTTGCAGCCGAGAAAACTTACAACAATCTTGACATAACTGTTAAAAAAGCACTAGAACATCGAAACCAGGTGTGCAACTTAATCCTAGATTACGTAACTTTATATTTTTTTAAATACTTAATTTTTTTCTTGACATCTCATTAGTGTGTTTATTTCGTTAATGTAAAGGTTTTCCTTTGATATCTTGCTCTTGTTTTTTCTCTTATTTTCATTTTTTCTGTATAGTAATAGGGTATTTTTTTTCTACTAAAAAGATGCCTGTTATTGTCTTGACTTAGGAAAGGTATTGATTTATTTATATTCCTTTAAACACAAAACTGATCTTGTCTCTTACAAAAGTAGCAGTGTTTAACTAGGCTACTTTTTTCAAGCAACTTTTACTAATTACAGGCTTTTCACAAAAATCTCTTAACATATAACAAAGCCTTTATTGAAAAAAAAGGTAGGCTGTACAGCAGATGTTTGTGTGGATAATTTGCTGTTGATATCTGGCAGCAAGAGGAACACAAAATAAACAAATTAGATGTGTGAAGTCTAATAGTCTAACAGACAACTCTTTCATTTGTTTGAAGTTGTAAAGACAGAAGAACAAACCTAACATACACATATACTGCACCACACTAAATTTTGAAGTTCAGCATTTTACTATTGAATTTTATTTAAGTTGTTCTACATCTACTAATTCTGTTCTTCACCTGTTAGTGGTTTGAAGGAGTACTCAAGTGTAGAGCTGACGACACATTGGGTTCGGTGTTAGAGATTCTGGTCAAAGCTGAGGTGAGTAACCATCACAGTTAATGAATCAAACTTTGATAATACACCATGTGTTTTAGTTTTCAAGATTTTGTCATGTAAAATTCAATTGGTATTCATATTTGAAGGATTGGATTCCTACTGTGAGAAGAGATATAATCTCTGGACCTAAAGTACTTTTTATTTCCACAAATCAGTTCTGGAGAGAATATTTGAAGGATTGGATTCCTACTGTGAGAAGAGATATAATCTCTGGACCTAAAGTACTTTTTTATTTCCACAAATCAGTTCTGGAGAG